GCCGGGGCACCCCGCTGGCGGCCGAGGGGGCTGCGGTGCCGCCGGGCAGCCCCCGCGCCCGGTCAGCGCGGTGCCGGGTCTCTGCCCGGGGGACTCTGGCAAACGCCAAGGGAGAGGGAGCACGTCCCCGTGTCCTCAAGCGCGGTCCCACCCGCCCCGGGCGGGGGGCGCGGGCTCCGTGGCAGCGGTGAGGGGAGGTGGGATGGACATCCAGCAACGCTACAACAAAGCCAACAGAAAAGATGGGATGAGACACGGACACCGGTGCGTGAGATGAAGCCATCGAGCCCAGCCGGCAGCACCGCGCGCCCGCCCCCGCGCCAGCCTGCTCCCCCCCCATGCCGCCTCGGCCACCGGCACCATGGCCAGCAAGCCTTTGCCGCGGGCAAGCGTACCCCAGAGTGCTCGGGAGGACAAGGATGGCCACGGGACACCTCGGTGTCACCGCCGGGAGAGCCCAGCGCCCAGCCCAAGCCCCAGCACCAGCCCCCGCGCCGGTGGCCACCCCGGCTCCCAAGAGACTGGCAAAATCGGCGTTACCTGGGCTGGCCGGCACGGCCGAGGAGCTGCCGCCCTCCACGACTCGCTGACCCAGCTGAGGAACTCGCCCATGGGCAAGGGGACTTCTGTGGTGGGGCTGGAAAAAGAGGTCTGCCAGAGAGAGAGCGCGTTACTGGGGGCGCAGGGGGGGCCGGGGGGAGGAATTACCACGAGGGAGGAAAGAGGAGGCTGGATTTACAGAGATCTGCCTTTTTTTCTAACAAGAGAGCAAGCTGAGTTGCCGCAGCGTCCCATGGCCCCCCTGGGCACTGGGGGGTCCCGCGGCCTCCGCACCCCTCAGTCTGGAGAGCCCCCAGTGGTGGGGGGGGGGGCAGGGGCCGGGCAGCGGCTGGGTCTGGGCGCAGGAAGCTTTGGCAGCGCCGGCTCCGTGGAGCACGGGCTCTGGCAGGCGCCTGTCAATTAATTAAGCCAGGTGAGCGTTAAGAAATCAACCTTGTGCCGAGCACTTCCCAGATACACGGAGAGACAGACGGACAGACAGACGGGCGGGCGGGCAGGCAGC